CGCTCGGCCAGCTCACGGGATCGCATTCTTCCCACTCCCGAAGCGTGCCGGGCTCGGCACCGGGGCCAGGCTGTGCTCAGACATCTTGGAAAGCAGCTGCCTCTGGGCTAGCAAGGGGTCGCAGTTTCCCTGCCCTCCAGCAGCACTTTTGGGACGTGGAGCCGAAGGGTAGTCCCAAGAAGCGGGACCGTTGAGTTCCAGCGGCCGGTGATTTGGCTCTGGGTAGTAGACCGTTTGCAGGTCAGCTACATCCGGCAGGAAGAAGGGAGGGAGCAGCAGGTTTCTTATGGGGGCAGGAAATCTGGGTGTGAAATGACGGGCAGCGGGGAGAGAGCCCAGCTGAGTTCTAGGTGGGGTCTCTAGACGTTCTCGGGACTGCCTGCAGTGGGGGCCACTGGGTTGGCTGTCCCCGGCGGTGCCAGCCTCTGGAGAGACGTTGGAGCTCTCTCGGCCCTGCAGGTCGCGGGGTGATTGAAACGAGGGATGTTAAAATGCGGTTCATTGACTAGTCGAGAGGCACTTCCGCATTCCTCCTTTGGAACGTACAACCCGTGCAGCCCGGGGCCAGTGGGGGACTCCCCAGCTGACTCCGGGTTCTGGGGAAATGCCATTTGGAGCCCGGGATCAGCTTGGGACCCCGAGCTCCACGTCTGCCCCTTTGAAATGCTGCTGTGGGGTTTCAAAGCGGCAGCGTCGCACAGCTGATCTCCGGCTCAGCTGAGTGGCGCTGCTGCTTTGAGGTACCCTTTCCCCCTCCCCACCCCTTTGCTGCCTCTAGCTCAGATTACTTCCCCCAAATCTATGTTTACCAAAGCAAGCCAGAGTGTGGACAGTATTTGACAAAAATTCAAATGACCGCTGCTCCCCAGCTCAGCCCCGGGGGGGTGACCTCCTGGGATAACAGCGCGGGAGGGAGGGCGCCGTTGGCCGGTGGGGGATCCGCAGAGGAGGGCACAGTCCCTGCCTTTCGCCTCGTGCACACCTGGTCCTAGTCATGTTGGCAAAATGAGCTTGGGCTGCCCCCAGCCTGTCCCATCTCCCTGGGGCCAGTGCAGG